AGACGCGATGAGTTGTCTGCCACGCCCTGTTCAAAAACCTCCAGTGTGGATTGTGTAGTACTTCCAGCTCGCAACAAAGATGTCTACAAATTAGCGTAGCTCACTGGATTTGAAAATGCTGAAATGCAGATCGTCAAAAGCATCAGAATATTGACTGTTGTAGTTACGCCAGTGGCGACCAGATAGTTCACCTCGTCAGTGTCTAATGTTCTCCAACGATGATGTCCTTGTCGTAAATATTTTCTGGTGGCACTTCTATCGATTAACCGCACCGTAGTCTCTCTATTTAGACAACGTTTATTCCATCAGCCAGTTTCATTCTTCATTAGAACGCCTATTCTCCAAATTTCCGGCACTTTCTGTTTTCATTCGGACTTGCGTGTAGATTATCACTCATTTGCCAGTGTCGCGTTTGACCAAACACATGAATGGTAGTAATAAAACCCGGAAGGGGGGGTAGCTATCCACCTACATAACTCATATCTGGATTTACCAGTACTGACTCATCCAGACACATCTTACGTTTTCTGTGAAACAGGTGTTCTTCAAAAAATCAGCTCAATACCAACCGAATCCTACTGTGGTAAGGGGCTTCAAATGAGTGTGTTGAACAGCGGAATTATCTTCAAATTATCGAATTAGGCCCTTTAGTATAACACTACTTATGAGTGTGCTGAATACCCATGGGGACCTCAGTGACAGTTTTGTCTAAAAGGAGGTGCAAAAAAATGATTTCTCCGTACAAACAGAATTAGGCGTCCAGTGCGCCATCTTCGTGAGAGGGCGCAGTTGAAGAGACGGACTGAATACCACATGAGATATTTTGGGACAAATTTGTCGTTGCCATGTCCTCAACCAGCATTCGGTTTAATCACTGAAAGGGTTAGGCTCGGTAAGGGTACCATAGACGAGTCAGAGAGATGGCACTGACTGGCCTGCCTGTCAAGGCTTTCCAGTCAGGTAGCATCACAAACACTTAAAACCTACCGGAAATTTTTGGGTTTTGCTTCTGGTGGTTGCGAACTCTGTAGAATGCATGCTCACGTCACACCTTGTGTTTGACGGCATGATAGTAAATACTTAGGTTATCAGCATTATAGTTGCATGAGTAATATACTGACTGATCTTGTTTCATAACCGTACGGCCCCACTTACCACATTTCCGATGGAACCAAGATTGCTGGCTACTGTTGACAAATTCACACGCAAACGAGTGTATTCACAGATTAATGTGAGCACCCTTTGTTCGATCCTTGTTAGTTTATATCATTTTAGTCTCAAAATATTGGTTTTTCAGAAGAGAGACACCCGGATATCTAGAAAAACATTCCTGAAACGGTCTTCTTTGAACCATTTCTGACCCTTTTTGCCTTTGCGAGAATACCTGTACATGTACTAATGGTCCTAATCACTCACACTGATGTTGCCCCCATGTTTGCTGAAGCAACGTCTGCAGGCAGACTGCAAAGCTTGGCAAACAAATCAACCGCCACGTGACCAATGAACAGTTAACGCACCCGATATATTTTGCCACTAAATTTGTGAACATTTACACCTTAGGGAACATGGCTTGTAATGATCAGGAATATGAGAACGAGAGGTCCAGATCTCCCGGTGATCTAGTGGTAAATTCTGGTCGATTCTGTTCGCCCTTGAGCACGACGAAGAAGCCTGACACGTGACCCTTCCATCCTTTGTTTTTAGGCGCTTCTGTTGAATGAATGTAAAGTGGTCATTTCCACTTGGCCTTCGCGGTGTCAGGTTTGAAGGGCTCAATTAGCTCAGATGACCTGGTGAATTCAGAATGTTCATTTCCGCCTCAGGTTGCACATCAGCCATGTGCCCAGTGGATTCTGATCAACTTGAGTCTAAACTGTGTCTCCGTAGGACTTTTGCATTCTCCTGTTTATATAGCATACTGGTCTTTGAACACTCTTTGCACCATAGAAACCGACATCCTTTCTTCTCACGTTAGAGAATCATCCATGAGTTTTACGGTACATGCGCACGCGCGCTCGTTCATTTCGGTTTCAACATTCACGTAAAATAAACCGCTGATTCATTCACCTGTTGACCACACCTAAATACGTGAAATCGCCCGGTAGACGTTACAAGAAAACGAGTTCAGAATGAACTGAGAATGGGTACAAACAATTTCTTTAATGTTTATAACCGGAAACACTGCGTTGCTTGTCTCGCCTTCTTCTCTACTTATGCGTTCACGGCGTCACCACATAAATGTCAGAACGCTACAGACAAAGACCACACATTCCGAGACTTCAACCACATTTGTCTTGCAAAAAATGTTTCCGAAATTGCAAGATGCCATGCTTAAATCATCCGCATAAAAACCAGCTGTCTGGTAAATTCTTCTGCAGTTCTTTGCTTCAAGAAATGGGCTTGAGCGATAAGAGTCATCCAACTTTTTTATTGGTGTAGTCTACACAATATCATCTAGTTCACCTCCTTAGACTGTTAAAATATCCCAAGAAGCAAACGTCATCTCGAAACATAAAATTCGTGCTGATAAGCCGACCCGACACTCCGATCATACTGTGAGAGTTTTTGACGATCTTTCATCAATCTTTTCTGCACGTTTAACAGCCTTTTAGAGTGCTGGTTTTGCAAGCCATATTGTCAAAACTCTTGGTCCTGTTTGCACTATCTTGATCTTCTCTGCGGTTGACAAATTGCTTCACGAAATAGTCATCAGATGAAAGGTACTGTTCTTACACCACTCGTTTCACGACAACTCGGTAACCATGTGTGGTATGCCGGCTTGATTTTGATAGGTAGTAGTGTAATAATCATTCAGCAGTAACATTTCCGGTGGCTAGCTGCCACGCCACTCGACGGAAGTACGAGGGTTGAGATACTGCCAGGTTGCCCAAACCTGCACAGGCATAGTCTAGTTGCCGGGGTTGGGTTCGATTCATGAGCCTTCCTCTTAGCAAGTTCACTTCCTGACCACTGAGATCTCTGGAGCTGATCAATAATGATCAGTTGAAGAGTTTTGAAAAGTGACGTCAACGTATACCAAAACCCCAGATGAACCGTACAGCGTTTCCTTCCTTATTAGAAATCATAAATAGTGCGCACCTCGCGAATGACCGAGTAAACTCCTAAACATCGACTAAAATAGCAAAATCTCAGCATATTATCTACTAACAAGAATATGAGCAACTTATAAGGAAGTACAAATTTCGAGTGGACCCTTCCTATGAGAAATCGTCGGTCACAGAGGCAAGTGTGTCTGCGTGATAGGAACATTGCGTGGTTGAACATTGCGTGGCGTTATGTCCTGATAAAGGGCGATTTAGTAACACTGCGCTATAACCGGATTAGTGTTCAACCGCTTGCCAAGGGGATGAAAATTCGAATGTTTTTGTAGAACCATGAAATGCGCCCTGCCAATGATTCCCAATGAGGATGAAGCTGCAGCAGGTGGCATTTCAACTTCTCGGCTAATTAGCATTCCATTTCATCTTGCGAGCAACGTTGTCCCAAAGCTGCGAATGAAACTCTCCGTGATTTGATTGATTTGTTTCTAGCTGCACTTTCCTCTTGTACTTGCCGGAATACCACCCTTGATAGCGTTGGAATTGGCGCCGCTAAATATATTCTGTTCGCACTAGCTGGAGCTTTTTCACATCAAGCTGCTGGAAACGTTCACCAGCAGATTACGCTCAAAGATAAAGACGGGGCTTCTTGAGGGATGCCCGCCTCCGCGCCGCATAAATAGTCATACGGCGGTTGGTTCTGTGGGTCGGTAGATCACTAGCGGGATGGGGAAAGGACCGCTAAAAAAGGGCATTAAATTTACTGCAAACAACCTTATGCTAGTTGTGAATGAGTACATTGGTGTTCAGGGTAACCTTGTCTACTCACTCGTGTTTGGGGATCCAAATTAACAGTGGGTATGATTGAGGGGACGAGATAGCTCAGTGATTAGAGCGCGAATTTACTGACAGGAAGGTCCGTGATTCGAACCCGACCGCTGCCTCTCGGCTTCCCCTGTCTAGGCTTGGGAAACCTGGCAGTATCCTAGCCCTCGTGCTTCCTTCTGGTTGTATAGCTGAACGACTGATTGATAAATTATTAGGTATAAGCGACAGTCTATATCCGTTCTAGGTGACACACGTGGTTGAGCACCGAGATTCATTGTGTCTCAAGGTCAGTCCAAAGTGGAATTCATCTGGCTAGTCAGATTTCGTCGAAGTGTCACCCAGATCCAACAGTTTTTCAGACTTAAACCTGTGCAGCCATGAAGCTGAAACAGTTCTGTTTTTGCGTTCCACTTCTCGGCTGAAATTTGCTTGCTTATTTCGGGAAGCGTCGTTAACTTCGCTCTACTGTAAGCCACATGGCCCGCGTATCACATCGCGTATCGGTGCTCATACTATTCCGATTATTTTTGAGCATTTCACTGCTGAGGCTAGCTCACCACAGGTTTCGGCGATTCTTGAACTGGTGCTGTAACAAGATCTGTCAGTCGTCCGCAAAGCGTCCACGTTTTTTCTACTTTTCAACGGATAGTCAAATGGCCCGCAATCTGCAACCTTGGCCCATAACATGACTGCTTTAAACGCGCTTTCGTGAGCAGAGCCTCTCCGTAAATTGGATGTTGTGCCAGTCGTATCGGTGACAATCTGTGACATTGCTAAAATAATTGAAAACACAAAGAAACGTAACACACAAAGGCAGGATTTCATGTGATCTTTTGTTATGACCTGTTGGTACACGTGAGGATACTGTTAACTAACCAGTGAGTAGTACGCATTCCGCTGATAAACTACAGTTGGTGACTTTCTGACCAATGTGAATTGACAGAACTCTTGGTTCTCTATACTATTCAGCCAAGTCTAAGAAGCGTAACAATTGGGTTCAGTTGCTTCTTCTATCCCATGTAATATATGATATTGCTATTTTTATCATCACGTTTGTTACTATTATTCTACTCCAGTTAAACCAACACTACAAATGGAGCGGAAGCCGTCCAGGACAACTGACTAACCTACTTGAACTCTGCCCCACTAACCGGCCGTTCGATTTCACCGCCAATTCCATGCGGTCTAGCCAAGAAAGCCTACCATTTCAATCCCGATTCCAGCCAGATCTGTCTGAGCTTCGGAAAGAATATGAGTACGAACTGGAACGCTTGACTAGGGAACATGAACTACAATTATTCCGAGTAAGTTATTCGGAAAAAATCGCTTCTAACTGAAGCCGGAATACCTCAGTTTATAAATAACGTGTCAATCAGTCAGGTATTCGTTTATCCTGCACCACTGAGCTTAAATACAGTCAAATGTGGACTGAGAATAGTCGTTGAATTGGTCCAGAAAATGAATACTTTTGGGTATATCTATCACACGATCCAGGGGCCTTCAAAAAGAGACCGATGGACTCGATAGACATGTGCATTCTCAGCGGACAAATGAGTAACTCTGTTTGGATTCTATTTTACAAGACACCTTGCTTAATTTAAAGGGATTCGCGGCATGAATGGTTCCGTGTGGCTCAGCTAAAGTTTCCGGGTGTGCGCGTAATAGGCATATGATCGCTTTTTACCCTAATCTGCATTTCGCTTGGCAGTTGAATTCGGTACCCTTTGTGAGACTATCAATAACATTTGTCTTATGAAACTTGAAACAGATTCGATCCAACAACCATCAAAATGAGATTCAGGCACAGTTAATCAACAGCACTTTCATGGACTCGTATGCTTTGTTTGATAGCGTCCCGGGTGACAACGCCGTTTTATCAATATCATAAATGACGGTCACTTAAGTCATAAGGTATCGTCCATTTGACGGCGCATAGTTGAATCTCTTTGTCTGGAGCTAATCAATCCTTTCAAGAACCATCCATAGAGTTCGAAAGGTCTGTGCATGATCTATTAGGCTTGATTCGTGTGCTTCTACTGTGTGGTGGACCCGGAACATCACAAAATATCTCCCGCCGCTATTTATCCATTCACGTTTTGAACAAGTCTACTGACAGCACAGAAACTGCGTCACAGAGTAGGAGATCTCGTGAGTGGCAAACAGCGGGATAAGGCAATATCGGCAAATGAGATGGTTGTGTTTGTGTGCACGAAGTTATTACATCCTGTTTCGGGCTCCTTACAGGAGCTGGAGGCAGTCCTTATCGAGGATTTGATGAGCGCCCTGTTATTCAATTCAGCCGCCGCAAAACCAATCAGGTAAAATAATGTCAAACTGAGAAAGTATTCCGTCTCTCTGCCGCAGGAACAAACTTACGTGGAGATGTCAGTAACACTGGTTGACCTTCCGCCATTGCAGGGACATTTACCAACATCCAATATTTCCCTTAGACTCGTTAACTGACATTTTCGTCTCGCCATAGTTTACAGTCTTGTATCACCAGAAAATTCTTCAATAATTCATTTCAAGATGATTCCATATCTTCACATCCCTCTGACTTATCCACGTTACTGTGCTCTAAGCCTTCCCGTCCACCCACGCATCCCGGCACGCGCTTGAAGGATGACCTCGATTCTGGACA